GGCGGGAACAGGGCCCGGCCCAGGTCTAGGCCCAGGCCCAGGCCCGAGGTGGACGCTGGTCGCCTCCCTGCCCCCTCAGGGGTCCTCGCCGCCTGCCTGGGCTGGAGCGGGTTTCCTCATGCCTTGGTGCAGCGGTGACTTCGCAGTGTTTCCTTACTGCTGTATTGACTAGTTACGGTAGTGGGATGTTGATGGTGTGTTGCTTTTAACGTGGTGCTGTCGTTCGTTCTTGTTCTTAAGCTAATGCTTGAAGTTGTCTTGCTTCAAATATCACTTTCAAAAAAATGAAAATCAAAATCACGGAGCTGTCGCTAAGTTCCTGCCAACTGTATCTTCCCAGTGGAAGAGGGGAGGTTAGTGGCAGAAACAGGATGTGTCTATGAAAGTACTTCCACTTGTAAAAGCAGGATTTCATAACAGCTTGACAGCAAAGTGACTCTTTCTAGCAGCAGGATTATTTTCTCACCTTCACTTCTTTTTGGTTAATGCTAGCTGCCCAATCCCGTGGGTGCTCGTTTCACATGCATGTTTGAAGTTACCTTTATTTAAAATGCTCTTAAATTATATTGGACATTGTACATATAAACTATGAACAGTAGTTTGAAAAAATGGGTAGGTAGTTGGTGTGTCTTGTGATGTCAGGGGTTCTATGCAGTCATAAAGTATGTGTAACTATAAGGACCTGGGGTTTTTTATGTGTAATGTGTGCACAACTTGTGGAAGTAAGCTAACAATTTTAATACTCTCTGCAGAATACACAGGCTGGTGTCTGCTTAATGCTGTCAGTTTGCCCATGAGTGGCGTCATTGTTCTCTGGTCAAAGCTGCACAAGACGACCTGAGTGTGTGTTCTGGGCTGTGACCTTGACTGAATGCCATGTCCATAAAGCTAATTAGTTTTCCAATGGATAGCTTAAAACCTCTCTCAACCTTTTCCTACCACATATGTTACGCTATTTACTTATTTGGGCCTAAACATAGCTGAAGTTCATGTAAGTGTGGAGCATCTTTTTGAACACTTCTTTGGAGGGCAGAGTACTCATGCAGTGTTATGTCTCAAAGTGAAAGTTGTTGAAGTAACTCAAAACATAAGTACATGAAGTACTTGATGTCATTTATATGTTTAAAAGGGGGTATGTTATCCTGTTTTTGTGTAAGTTGTGAGAGAGAACTGTTGGAAATGGGAGACAAATGTAGCTAGAACAGAGTTAAACTGCATATTTAAGAAGGTTTTGGCTCTTACTACAGTAGTCTAATGATAGTACAATTTCTGTTACAGGCTGTAGTGTAGTTGAAAATAAGTAGTAAGTGTACCTTGTTGTCTGAAAACCACATAACAAAATAGTAAAGCATATTTTCTCATGCGTTTGCAGGAACACGGTCTGTTAAGTTATCTAAGCAACCATGCTGGCTGCAAGGCTAGTATGCCTGAGGGCGTTATCATGCCAGACTATCCGCCCCACCATTACTCAGGCTTCCCCAGCTTTGAGGAACTCCAGTATAAAAGCATACAGGCTGTGGCAGCCTAATCAGGTAAGGTAATTCTCTTTCTAATGGTTCTGACTGCTGATATGTTAGAGTTGAGTGTTTTGCCAAAAGAATCACTTTGCGTGGAGTACCTGTTTTGAATGATCACGAGCCTTCTACTTGTTTGAGGTACCCGCTCTAATTTACTGAAGGAAGAGTGTTACTCAATCAAAAACCAGGGGTTTTAAGAGCAGTTGAAATAATATCGTCTGTTCCAATGACTATTTCTCCATTAAAATTACTGGAAGAAAGAACTTAAAGGAGGTAGGTAGTGTTGGCCAAGCCTTACTCTGTAAGGCAGGAGGAGCAGAAATTCTTGTCTGATCTCCTCCTCACTCTCTGTTTCTGAGCAAGAGTCTTAAATATAATATTAAATTAAAAACTTTCTTTTCAAAGACTTTAGTCCCAGTATGCCTGTAGAGTTGTAGCCCAGGTTAGAGCAATTTCTGAACTATGGCAGGACTGTCATGGGTCTTACCAGCAATTTGAAAAACCGGAGTGTCGTTACCCTAAGACGCTGTCTGTTTATTCTTCATTGAGAGAAGATGTTTCATTTTTGCTTTCTGCCCAGGTAACTCACAGCTGTTAAGAGGCATTGCTCTTTTGTCATCATCTTGGTGAAAGCGCCAATGGCAAATTCTTCACCTCCTTTGTATTTTCCTCTGAAGCATAGAAAACTGTTTTTAAGCATCCTAAGTTTGTAGGTGTGTTGGGGTTTGTGTGTGTGTGTGTTTTCGGGGGGGAGGGGGCGGTTGGTGGTTTTATTTCTGTGGCAAGTGCTACATAATTACAGTGTTGGGCTAGCTTTCCTTAGATGTAAAACACAAGAAAACTGAAGCGCTGCGGTAAACTTCCTGATTTTTATTGCTCTAGTGGCTGATGATAGTGATGCTTGTAGGTTTCAGGTTTTAGTGCTAAAAGAAACTCACAGGTTTGAGTGAGCCCTTGGTTGCTCAGGTGCCTGCATAATAATTTAGAAATTCCTGGAAAAAAATGGCAAGGAAACTTCAAAAGTTGTTCCTGAGCTTAAATACGAGTTTATTCTGTGTTGTTCTTGCAGCTTACTAAGACATAGACTTTGAGCAGCATGCTACATTTATTTGGAGCTTGTCAGCCTTAAAAATCTTAAGTTTATAGGCCTTTGTTCAAGGTTTGTTCTATAAATCAAGGCTAGAGTTGAAGGCAAAGAATCGGTGCTGTTTTTTTCAAATATGGCATCTGTAAAGTCTAAGTACTGTGCAAGAATAATTTTTTTACATAAAAGTATTTACGTAAAGTGTTTTTACATAGAAAGCAAAGTATTTTTTTTACAAAATAAAGAAGTAAAGGTTATGGGTTTACATTTTTAAAAAAAAAAAAAGCTTTATGGCCTTGTTTGGTATAGTGGGACTAGAGTAGAAGAAAGGCAAACTGAGAACTTCAGCTTCTGAAATTCAGAGTGTTGGTTCTGTAGTTCTAGAATGCGTGAGTGTTACTCACAAAACTTCCTAAACTTTAATGTTCGGTTGTTGTCCTTGAGCGCAGTTGCTTCATGTCTCGGGGAGGTAAGCACGGCTAAATAAGAGACTGCATAGCAATTTTAAGTGTAGCAAGTAAATCGGTAAGAAATGTCTTCTGTTTCATTTAATTGAATCTTTCTTTTTGTTATTTCTGAATCTAACAGTGTTATGCCACCAGAGTAAGAACGGGTGTAAGGCGTGGAAAAATTGGCCAGGAAATTAAAGAAGCAGCATTTGAGCCATCTGCAGAAACAGCACTTAAAGGTAGAGTAGCTCTGCTTTAAATACTGAGAATCTTTTTGAAGCTTAATGTAAAACTTCCTTGAAGGAATTGGTTTCCTTCAAACCATTAAAGAGACTGAGAAATTTTTTTCATGTGTAAGTTTGCTTAGTGATCTCCCTCAAACAACTGGAGACAGTTTCTCTGCTTGTTTTTCGATGTAAAGTTTAAAGCTGCAAATATGTCACAGTATAGAGAAATTTCTTAATGTCTCTAAGCTGCTTTTGAGAACTATTAAGTCAAAAATGGTTGTCTCTTACTGGAGACTTGGTTGCAGATACTAAAAAATACACTAACGCTTTGCTACATCTACTTTGTATACTGTTTAAAGGACGGATTTTTGTACAGTGTGTACAGTTTGTCAAAAAAAAGGTTTCTGGTGCTACGGTTATGTGCTATGCTTGCTAGTACATCTAGTGTGGATCATAATTTCAGTGGATTACAAGGGATTTTTTAGATAGCAGCGTTCAGCAGAACAGACTTGTACCTGTGCTGTAATAGTATTGAATTGACTAATGGAATATACGTAGATTGGCTAGATAGTGTCTCTGTAACACATTAGGAAGAAGTGTAGCCTTAAAGAGAGTTATACAACTGAAGGCATTTGGTCTCAGCTGCTCTTACTTCTGCTGTAACAATATTTTTATGATTGATACTTATATTTGTAGCAGTAATCTGATATGTGGCACACAGGCAGTATGTCTAAAATTCAGACAGTAGAAACAGATAGTAAATCATGTTGTTGCCCATGAGCTTTGGAAATCCCTTTTTAAACTGATCTGGATCTAATTGCTACCAAAGAGCTCTTAAAGGAGCAAACATTAAGGGCAGATGAATGAGAGGAAAGGACTCGATGTCTAGTTTTTCTCCTGTTTTGTAGCAAGTTGGATAGTGAAATGGTACACTAAATCAGCTGACAGGTGACTTCTTCTGTTGGAGAACCTGGTAACTGGTTTTGTGTTGGAATTCCTGTCACTGTAATGAAGGTCAGTAAGCCTGGCATGTTACTAGCTGTTCTCTTATTTCTTATTCTGTGTTATGAAGCTATATTGTGTTGGTAGGCCAAATGTAGAGTTTTTCACATGTAGCTCATTCAGAACTGGTAACGCAGTGACTTAAGTGGAGCTTTGAAAGAGGCCTAACATGGATCAGCTATTGCAGATGCAACGAAACTCATGTGAGGATGTTATTAACTATCTAAGAAAAAGCATTCATGAGAGTGTGGATTTTTTTTTTTTTTTTTTTTTTAGCCGATCGCCTGGGGAAATTTGTTGTTGCTGGAGGGGCTGCTGTTGGCCTGGGGGCCCTCTGTTACTATGGAATGGGCATGTCCAGTGAGATCGGAGCTATCGAAAGAGCTATGTAAGTAAGATGGTTTACTGTTTAAATAAAGAGTACGTTAAGCAAATTTCCCTCCCTTTATATCCATGTCTTCTTTAGCTGGTATCACCCAGTGTACACACAGCTTACTTTTTTTTTTTTTTTTAAAGTTCTGAAAAAAAGTTCAGAAAGCCCTCACCTCTGTCTGTGCAGGATTTTAAAGCATATAACTGAAAGCAAAATTTAAATTACCCAAGCTTAAGTGGATATTGACTTAAGTGAGTTCCTTTGTTTTGCTAAATTTGAAATTTATTTGTGAAGAGTATATAAATACATCTTATGAGGTGTGCCACAGATAATTTATGAAGGGTAGTCTTCTGTAAAACATACTTTGCCTGGTGTTCCTGTGAGACTGTTCATTAAACTTTAACGCACCATGTCGGAAAGAGAGTCTCCTTTGAACATGCTATTTATCCTGGCATAAGCCCTGCTCTGATAAGTATGTTTTGCTTAAAACTTTGGTGTTTGGCTTTCTGGCCAACAAAAACCTGACTGTGATGGCAAAACCATGTAGTTACTTAGACTTAAAAGGTGATTAGTGATAAGCTCAGGCTTGGGAGAAGTGAGTGCCGGAGACATTTTGCTTTACTGACTCTGCATTTATATTTGGAAGTGACTATCTAGATTCATACTGAATGCTTGCTAGTTGTATCTGTGAGAAGCTTTTCACTGATAGAGCTATCTGTCATTTTTTTTCTCCACAAGCCTTTGAAGCAATGGGTCAAAAGAGTAAAATGGGAGAAAATGTGTACAATATGTTTAAGTTTGATGTTAGTAGGGAAGGCTTCCTGTCTGAAGTATGACCAAATCATACTGCAGAAACTCATTCACGTCTAGGTCTGTTGCTATTGTTAGAGATCTCAAAATGATGTTCCTGTCTTGCAGTGTCACATGATCATGTGCACTGTGACTCAGCAATTTGCGAGCTGCTCAGCAGGCTACTTATGCCCAGTACACGTTCTGTAGACGTTTTTTCTTAAACCAGTTTGTTATATATACACCATTCTATTTTTCTAGTTAAAAAGCACTCGTTACTCTGTTTCCTGTGTATGCTTCCTCCTTAGAACTGAACTATAATTAGCATTATTTGTAATTTGCAGTGTTTCTAGAGAGTTATGTTACATTAGACCAGCAAATTTAAAAGTTCAGCCACCTGTGCTAAGGTAAACTTACGGCAGAAGTTGCTAGACCACATCATTATTATGAAACCTGCCTTATATCCATAGCTATGAATATATTTAACAGCTTGATTGTGTTTTTAGTTGGTCTTCATTCTGATACTGGTAATTGCACAGCTCTGTATTACTGCTTGTTTTTTAGTATTTGGCCACAGTACGTGAAAGACAGAATTCGCTCTACTTACATGTACTTTGCGGGAAGCATTGGCTTGACGGCACTGTCCGCTGTAGCAGTAAGCAGATCTCCAGCACTCATGAGCCTTATGACAAGAGGCTCCTGGCTGGTAAGCTTATGTTATAGAAATAAAAACATTTACTGAGAAAAGACTCCAAATGTGATGGTCAAAAAGTGAACTATAAACTACTTGGTGAAAAGTAAGGCAAAACCTCACTTACACTAGTGTCCTTATCCATAAAGACTACTTAAGTATCCTAATGATATTTTGTGATTTAAGATTTGGTGATTCTAATTACATGCTGATGTGCACCTTCTATACTCCTTTGATAGTTTGTCTAAGACAAACTACATGAGTAAAAAAAAATGCTATACTATCCTTACCCATCTATACACAAGCAAGGACCTGTTATAAATAGCCATCTGAGGCTAAGGACACCATTTCTGTCGCTTTCTAAAAATGGAAACTGCGGTCCCTATGCATTCTGTGCTCTTCTATATAGCTCTTTGAAAGCTGTCGCCTCTTTGCCAAGGCTGAAATGATACTAGTAGGCAAATCATCCAGGCAAACTGCTAACAAAATGTGCCCATTTAGTACATATTCAGCGTGTTAAGTAGAGTGGAGCGATAATAGTTAAATGCTAATACCTACATAATTTTACGGAGACTAATTTAATAATGCATCCTTGGTGATAAACCAAAGTTGTACATTTCTGACCAGTTTGCTAGCTGCTGGATGATTCTGCTCAGAAAGGAGGCAGTGAGGTTTAAAAATCATTGGTAGCAAAAGCATGTGAACTAAGTATTGGCTTTGGGTGGAGAAACATACAAGAAAAAAGTAAGGCTAACATTTTGGGTATCTTAATGAGGATTAGAATAAGCAGTGGAACCATACATTTTCCTTCTCTTACCTTACACATCTAAGAGATTGTTGCTGTCTTACTGATAAACTTGGGGTTCCTAGAAGACTGAGTAAAAGTAAAATGGGAATTACTGCAAGCTAGGATCTGCAAAGATTTGACTATAACCTTACAGGAGTAAAATTGACAAATGCTCCAGCTATGAAAACGTTGCTCTGTTCAGAATTACACTATTGACTTTTAGGCTAGGAGGTTAGAACAGAGACCCTGTGTCCTAATGCTAACTTGAGCTCTGCAACTCTGTTTTTACAGGCAATAGGTGCAGCTTTTGCAGCTATGATTGGTGCTGGAATGTTGGTCAGGTCCATATCCTACGAAAATAGCCCAGCAGCTAAACATTTGGCTTGGATGATGCATTCAGGTATGCGATTTTAGTGTTCACTGTAGAGATGTATATGCTTGAGTGTGACCAGATTCTTACTTTAACAAAACTTTGACTTTAAGGTAAATTTTTATACGCTGCTGTAGAAGAGTTAAGATTTTTCAGAGACCAGTGAGAATTGAATGTCAGGCAGATTTCTGAAGTGTCTTCAACACAACTCTTAACATTTTTCAGAATCTTCTAAAAGTCCGGCTCAAGTTAAACTTGAGATATGTATATGCCGCACTGGATAGAACTAAATTGGTTTCATAGCTGCTTTGGTTTTGTGACTGCTTTCTGGCACTATAGCTTCTGTAAGCACTATTGCCTACACTTAACCACTCTTCACACATACAGGATAGGAAAGTATTTTGAGAACTTGACTAGAAAAATGAGATTTTAGTATTAAACTGCAGCTTCTTAAAGACACGTTCCCATCAGGTACGTAAGCTGTGAGTACAGATCAGTTTCTTACTAATGGTAGCTACTTCAAATAGCAATGGCTATCATTTTTCAAGACTGTTTTGGCAGAAATAATTTATTTTTCAAGACACGTGGATGTTGGGCACTGGAATCATACTTGCCTCTCAAGCTAACATTTCTACCAAGAAGAAATTGTGTTTCTTTTAGTGATTAAGTTAAACAACCTAATGTGATATTAATGGACTAGATGAGGATTCATACAAGACTAGCAAAAAGTCTGGCTTACTTGTCTGACTAATTATTGTAGCAGAAATCTGTCCTGCTTTTCAGTGTTGAGGGCTCCTATGGCTATTTTGTAGTTGATTAGTCTATGCAAAGTACCTCTTACCAGCTCTGTTTTGAACAGATCAACGTGTTGACTTCTGTTAGTCTTTCTTCCAAAGACCAGCTCCTTGAAGTACTCTACAGAGATAGATAAAAGTAGGTCATGGAATTTAAGGTTGCCAATTTATTGTGCTCCCTTCTAGACAGGTGCACAATCAAGTGTGTTGGTATTTTGTCATGTAAGTAGATTAATTTGAGCTGTGTTATCGGGGGGGGGGGGGGGG